TTTCAGATCATATTTCAAAAAAAGAGAAATAGAAGAGAAGATTAACTCTCAAAAAATGTTTATAAAGTATTTCCACACACACAAGCAAAAAGTGTAAAGACAGCATGATACAGTAAATGCTACTTGTTGACATTCTATCAGTGCTTAGAGATGATGAATACAAATCATGACTTTTCATTTACCAGTCCTGCTCCCTAGGGCTTTTCCCGCTCTTCGCTTCCATGCTCATCTCGGAGCTTCATTGAGATTCTCACTAATACACATGATTTCCATCGGTGTATCCCAGGTAGCATGGGATCAAAATTGGTGCAGGTGTTTGGCAATCAGATAAGATGCAGACTGCAACACTCCATCCCATTTTGGAGATGCTGGGTTTCAGTTCAGTCCCCATCACTGATTCCATTTCCCAGCTTGGAGATATGGATGGACTAGGGTCATTCACTTGGGCGACATAATTTGCCTCCATTGGAACCAACAATCTCAATTTGTTAAGCATGTATCCAAAAATCAATTTGCATGCATTTGAATTTTTCACCAACGAAACTCAGAGTTGTTGAAAGTGACTGAATTATACTTGAAGGAAGCTGGAATGACTAAGAAATTTGCACAAACTAAGTCTAGGTAGCACAAAATATTGGTCCGCTTTATTTTCTGCTGAAATTGTTTTTGGTGAAAGTGTTCTTAGGATTAACTTAAATCTCTCCTTCCAAGTCAGCTTCTTGCCAATGTGCATGGGAGATGACAAGTATTTGGGTTGCTACTACCCATGTGGAAAACCCAGATGAATTTCCTGGCTCCTGACTTTTGCCAGCATGGCCCCGGATGTTGAAGGATTTGCAAAGTCAAAGAGAAGATGGAAAATCAATTCTGACTTTTTCACTCTCCTTGCCACTCTACTTTCCAGAAGTAAATAAGTATTAAAAAATCCTGATAATGATATGACTGTGTCAAATAGTTATTCATAGAAGATATATGCCAGTGTAATAAGAAGCATTAGAATTACTAATTCATTTTTCTTTTCCTTATTACCTAAAGCAAATACGCAAGTAGATATTGACAAAAAGCCATCACAAAGAATGAATGAAGGACCTATATACGAGGCAAATTTTTTTCTAAAATGAATAAAAGAGTGATTTTCATTATGAAAACTTATACCCACAACATATCCAGCACTCAATCTCCACCCTCTTTCTAGATTTCAATGAGTGACCACCACACTTCTCTCCCATATGTTTGAAAATGATTTCCCTTTAACCAAACTGTTTGAAATTTAACTATAACCTACTCTGTTTGCTGGTTCTTTCCACTTCCCATCAAACCCTCATTGAATTCTCCTCCCCCAGGCTGAGAAGCTACATATTCTCATCGTCCTCTAAATTATCCTGCCCAAAAGTGAAAAATAATCTGATAAATTCCTTCATATCAGGCTATTATGAAATTAATTATCTACTGATCTCAGGAGTATTTGCATTTTAACAGAAAATCACAGGGAAAGAACAATGCTTGACCATCACAAATCACTAATAAATTACAGAATTTCAGGAAAATTAAAAGGAACTGAAGATGTTTAAAAGTAATAAAAAGTACAGAATATTCTCACATCATACAATGGGCATGATGATTTTGACGATTTGTCCATCTGGATGGTTAGGAGTTGCATATGTATTATATAATTGACAGCAATCACCATGCCCTCATGATAGCTAGCCACATCTTGGAAGATCTTACTAGTATTTATTTATTCATTTATTTATTTTTAGAGATTCATTAACTTTTTATTGGAGAGACAGATTTACAGAGAGAAGCAGCTGATCCTATGCCAGGAGCCAGGAGCTTCTTCTGATTCTCCCGTGGGGGTACTAAGTCCAAAGACTTTGGATCATCTTCTGCTGCTTCTCTAGGCTACAAGCAGGGAGCTGGATGGTAAGTGGGGCAACTAGGACTCGAACTGGTGCCCAGATTGTATGTTGGTGCTTATAGGCGAAGACTCAGTCAACTGAACAGTTGTGCCAACCCCGCTAATATTCATTAAATAATTAAATAGCCATTTCATTTGTTTCTTTTACAGTAAAAATATGAATTCCTTTGGTAGAATTAGACTAAATACAGATATTTTGTACCTTTCCTCTGTGGTCCCAAAGAACCTTCATGAAGGCTACATGGATGGTTTTGGCCAATGAAACAGAGACAAACATGATATGTCCCTACAACTCTGAGTCAACTACAGTGTTTATGCATGATTTTGCATATTATGTGTCCTACACTGAGGAAGTTGTGAGGACCAAGTTCTGCAGGTGCCAGGTGAAAGAATGACTGTAACCTTTCAAACTGGATCAGTGAAAATACAAGCTACAACAGAGTGTAGTTGACCCAGAACAATAAACAAATGCATCCACATTATGGTATTTGATATATTTCCATATGGTTATTTTCTCACATATCTGTTATTCCAATTTAATAATTACCATTTTTCTAATTTTTATGTTGATGTTAAATAGCACAGAGGGAAAAGGCATAACAATAAGAAATGTTTTAGGTTTCAATTTAGACAACATTTCTAAAACAGATTGTGACTGAATTAATTTAACATATCTACTGGACAATAAAACACTATGTAGTTCACTGTCGTATGGTCCACATAGAAATAACTTGGTAATATCAAGAGTTACATTATTAATGATTACAAATAAGATAGTATTACGAACTGAAAAAAAATCAGCAGTTTTAATTGGTTAAGCAAATGGAATATACTAACTGAATATAACAATTTATTGTAGTTTAAAAACATCAATAAATAATGCAGTAGATGTTCTAAAGGTCTGTGTTAAGAATATATGACACAGTAAGAGCTACACCACTCTCCGTGATTGCAAATCATAATGCATGATGGCAAATGCTAAGGCATTATGTTAACAACTTTATGAAAAGTTTCTTGATCATGCATACAAATTATGCTAAAATAAGTTTATTCTTCATAAACAGCCTTTATACATTTGTCATCCCTATCCACATATCATGATGTTATGATAAATTAAAAGTTCCAAAAAAATTAAAATATGCCTTAGAAAATGTGTACTTGGTCATACTCATGTTTCTAGGAATCGTTCACCTCCTCTCCCAGAATCAATATTTTATGCCATTATCCTTATTTAGTTGGTCAAGAGCATGACACCTGATTTAAAATAGATGTTCTCCACTCCTTCTTCAAAGAAAGGAATGGAGGGAGACAAGGAGGTGTAGAAGGAAGATAATGAAAAAAATAAAAATAAAGGCAAAATATTATTTTTTCCTCACTAATAAGAAATCAGACATTTTATGACCACTCCAGTGAATCATGCAATAGCATGGTGATTATTTTATCTGGCCATTTCTTTGTCTCATCCTTACACGTATTCCACCTATTCTTTATTCATTAGCATAGGGAAGTAGGGATGGGCTCCATTTGGCACAGCCTGCCGATTTTATTCAAATAGCATAAGAATAACCCTTTGGCATTGTCATCAGAGATGTTAAGGTACACCTAACCAGGATGAAAATAGTATTTGATAAAAGTTTCTTTAGTCCACAATTCTTCCACTTCTTATCTTATGGAAGAAAAGAGCACAACAGATTAGATTGTTCACAAAGCATGTAACCAGGGTCCTTAGTATTTCCTGGTAGAAAGGGAAAAAGTGTTGTTGGCACACATTTTGTACCAGGCATGTTCTTATATTATCTGTTTCTTTTAAAATAAATCTTTGGAGATTTCCATGAGTTCATTGGCAAGTTCTCTTCAGGTATCCAGATCTACATTGTTCCAAGTTGGAAACTTCTATACACATCCATTTTTCAAGCATTTTCGACCATTGCTTTTTCAAATCAATAGTTCGTAGTGACAACATTTTAATTATTCCCCAAATGTGCACACCTATCTTGATTTTCTTAGCTTTCCTTTGGAGGACAAAATTAACCAACTGGTTTCACAGTTTAGTTTGCTCCACTCACTTTGAATTTCAGCTTTCTCCTCTAAGAGTAGGATCTTACACATTGACTGCAAACAGAAACTTTAAAATACCCAGCTGTGTTAATTATGCAGATATTAAAATAGCTGTAGAAATGGTTTGCATAAGATTTTTTCTTAGTTTAGGCAGGCCCACCATGTTGCAGTGAAAACAACACTTTATGATTATAATGACCCAGGACCAATACAGCCACCATCCAGTACTACCTAACTCAATGTTTCTTCATGCAAATTATAAACCTAGCCTCTTTGTGAACTCCCAAGGAATTCTCGTCTATTCATCATACTAAGAAGAGAAGTATTAATTATCTCCCTGCCCTACAATTTCAACAAGGCTATAATCGATGTGGTGAAAATTAAAAATGAGATTCCAGTCACATTAAATTGTTATTTGATATTTACAATCTATCATTTTCAATTTTTTAGATTTCCTAGAGTAATTAAAATGTAATAGGGGTAGAACATACTGCCAAAGAAAAACAGGTGAGTAAATACCCCCAAACCGTGAAAAGAAAATTCCTTTCATTTTACCATCCTGGTGAGAATTGGATTCACATTCTCTGAACTCCATCTAAGCTGGAAAAAACTTAAAAAGGCATGTAGCATATGCAGCTATAGTACATAACTTTAAGAAGAATAGTGTAAATCTACAAGTAGCAACTTTCAGGCTAATGCATTACCTTTGGAGTAAATTTCTGCAAAATAAGCCATCGCCAAAGTTATATACATACATATATAGACATACACACACATTCATAAGACACCTAAAGGTTAAATTGAACTCTAAAATGCATACACAGACTACCTGGTTTTAGCTCCTGGAAATCACCAACAATTTAGAAAATATTTGATGCACACCATCGAATAGGCCACATAATTTACTAGGATCCTTAATTTTCGTATTTTGGAAATGGTTTTTCTTACCTCTCTTCGGCAAGGCTGCTTTCCAAAGTATAAAGGCTGAGGAAGGATAAGTAATAATGAGCATGAAAGCACTTACAACTGATCGGATGTTGTTTTCTTTCACCAGTTTCAGCGACGATTTATAGCAATTTGCAAGGTCTTCCTTGTGGGAACCGTTAATATGCCCTCTGGCGATCGGTCCTACAGTATGGATGACATCTGTAAGCACAAAGGGGAGAAGAAGTGGAATAAACAAGGCATTTCTCACTTTTCCCGTCCTACTTGGTGCTTTATTTACGTTAGGTATTTACGCTGGAGTCAGGAGACAGGCAACTTAAGAATTATTAAATGCTTCCCTGGTAAAAGATTTCATAAAACACATCCTCCTAATGCAGGCAATTTTCCAGAAAAGTGATAATTGTGAAAAGAAATTCCCTGCCGATGAATTGCTCTATCATTTGGTCAGACCCGAATGAGACAGATGATAGTGCAAGTTGTGCATAATTGGCACCCTGGAAAAAGACAAATCCTTGGTGGGAAATAAATCTAGAAATAATTGCCTGCAAAATGAGCATCAGGATTGACATGGGAAGGAAGACTCGATGCTAGACATAACTTCACCTGTAAATAAGGCACGATTGAGGCATTGTGTACTATGAAGAACAAATTTCTGAAAACAAAATGCCAAGACAATTTATAGCAATCAGTTATAGCTCTAAGAGAAATGATTTCAAACTATTTCTGCCCATTTTTATGTACCTCCCATCACTCCTCTAACATGAGTGCTAGAGAAAATTGTTCATCACTATGTTAAGTTACAAGTTAATAAGCTACTTTTTACTCTATTTGAACATCTCAGAGCAGTTCATAATGTTTCCACGTAAAATTTATTTTTTTCACATAAAGCCAGGCATTGTATGTTCTTTTATTCTGTACACATATATGAAACCTTTGACTTTAGAGATGTTAACAGGACTGTCCCCACTTCCAAGTCAACCAAGATTAGGAGAAACAACTCAAATTTCAGTCTCAGTAACATAAAAGTGTCTTAGAAATTTCCTTTCTCAGTCTTATTGCCGAATTCAACTATGAACGCCTCTCACTCATGTAAGTTACAGTAACTAATGAACATTGATCAAGCAAACAAATCAAGTCAATATTATTGCAATATAACAAAATGAACAAAAAGGATTTGGCTAAGCAGTACTATTTGATTTCTTTAAAAAAAAACTTTTTCAAAGATTTATTCGTTTGTTTATTTTTATTATTTTCCGTAATACATTTTTGTAAGCATAAGGATTTCCCTTTTTCCTCTCTCCTTTTTCTGCCCCCATTTTCCTTTCCCACCACTTTTCTCCATATTAATATAGTAGTATAGTCCTTGAGTAAGATACAAGATTAATATTCCTCTATTTAAGTGCATCATGGCATTGAGTACTACTTAATTTCAACAATAATAGCAAAGCTATAAAAGTGCTTTGTAAAACAAATATATATAGCACATTTTAAAATTGTGCATGAACTTGAATAATAACAAATAAGTCACTGAGAGAAATGTCTGATGATTGACTACTAAATGTTGAAGCTACTGTTTGAAGTTGGAGAAAAAAAAAACCCCAATGCATTGGTTTCAATAATTAATACAGATACGGCATTTAAATCCTTGTCAGACAATATTTGAGCCAATACTGTATGATGAAAACAGTCATAAAACCATTTCTAATGAGTTCATGAATATTTAACTTCACAATTAATCTAGCCTTAAAGTAAGAAATGATGCAATATATAAGTATACAATACAGGAGAGTATGCAATCCTATTAAATCACACAAGTTACCTTAGGGTAGGGCTTCTCTGAGCATTTAGTGTACCCTAACCAGTGATGAGTGCAGGAGGACACGAATGCTTCTGGTAGAAGCCTGTTCTTGTCAAAAGAAATCGGGATTTTTGTCAATTTGGGACAATTTGTACTTCTGTTGTGGCATGAGAAGTCTGTGTTTTTTTCTCCTTCTCTGATTCCTACTGTATAGAAGAGCCACAGGGTATGGTCCTGGTCCTCTATTCTGGAGTTGGAGAAAATCAAGGAAAAGTGTCTTTACCTGGGATCACAAAGGATGCTCCTGCTTGAGTCAGCAGAGAGAAAGCACAAAGGCATCGATGGAAAGGAAGGATGGGACCAAGTAAGACAATATAATTTTTTCGAAGGCATAATTTTTAATGATATAATTAATTTCATTTTCTTTTGTTGGAAAAGCAGATCTACACAGAGGAGGAGAGACCGAGAGGAAGATCTTCCATCCGCTGATTCACTCTCCAAGTGGTCACAGTGACCAGAGCTGAGCCGATCCAAAGCCAGGAGCCTGGAGCTTCTCCTGGGTCTCCCGTGTGTGTGCAGGGTTCCATAGTTTTGGGCTATCCTCCACTGCCTTCCCAGGTCACAATCAGGGAGCTGGATGGGAAGTGGAGCAGCCAGGACACAAACTGGCTCCCACATGGGATCCAGGCACATGCAAGATGAGGATATATGAAAATTTACTCCTTGCCTGTCTTCGTTTCTGTATTTCATTTTGATGTCTGGGAATAAACAGATAATAACCGAACTCTTCCAGATTAAATATCAGCCTCCACAGTTTGTGCTCTCTATCAAATTTACAGCCTCTGAGATCAAGTATTACCACTGAGCAATGTCATGACCTCTTAGATCCTCAAAGCAGAAGCTGAATCAATATGAGGCTTGAAAGGAAATTGCCTTCATTATTTTAATTGCTCATAGTACTTACAAATACCTGCCCTACACTGCGTTAGTTCTTTTTGATAAAATTCAGACAGGAGACCTGCTTTCTGATACCTGTTTCATCCCTGAGTCATCGATGGCTCCAGATAAAGCCTGGTCACCTTGTCGACTTCTTTACCTGGAATTCAAACCAGCTGCTGGCTGATCCTGCGATCTCTTCCGTATTGTGCGGTATCATTTATCTTTAACTTTAACACGGGGATGGCTTCTTCATAGTAGACATTGGAATCTATGTGTGAGGTGATATATAAACATGAGATGGATGGTTGCAAACTCCATTGAAAATGCTAAAAGTATCTCTAAATGGGTGTTTTCAAGAAGCATACAAAAAACCAGGGCAGCTGATGTCAATAGGGGTATTCAATGCAATGCATGGTAAGTGGAGAGGCCCAAGAAATAGCAGATATTATTATGAGCAACAACACTAGAAGCAGTCTCTGCTGCAGCCAAGGGTTCCATGGCACACAGGAGTTAATGATAATTAATGATAATCAGTTATTGCCTCTGTGGTGTGGGAAGAACACTGTGCGTCCTTGAGCAAGTCGTTCTCTTTCCTCAAAGCTAAAAGAAGGAGTTGATTAATGGTAACATCCTTTGCAGCTCTAAAGCACATTTCTTTATCTACAGGACTACTGAGCTACAAATTTTAAGTTATCTAATTCAGTCATGTCAAGATAAATGAACACTGGTCACAGCTCAACTTTTTCCAACCTGTGTTTACAATGAAATGCAATCAGGCACTAGCCCCAAAGATACCGAATGAACTGTATCTATCAAAATTACAAATGCTGGTTTCTTTTGCTCCAATAGTCCTATCTCTAGGAATGCACCCTATAGAAGATGCGCTTTCTTACATACAAAATGGTATTTACAAGGGCCATTCACTACAACATTGCACTTAGCAGGAGATGAGTTAAAGATTGTTCACTTAGGCAATGAAATGTATATTTGTAAAACAGATGAAAAAGATATTCATGTATACATGTGATCTCCAAGACATATTACAAAATTAAAAATGCCAAGGAGTATGTACAACATGTTATTAGTATAAAATATTTTTTTAAAAAAAAGCACCTTCCACTTATATAGGAAAATTATATTTCATTTTATTTTATTTGTGAGTAAACCATCTCTAGAAAATTAAACAAGCAAATAATAACAGTGGGTACCCACCAGGGACTGAGGGAAACTGCAAAGATGGGGCAAGTTTGGGAAGGAAACTTCACAGCTCCCTGTTTTATTTTGTAATTTATTTACTTGCTTGTTTTATTTTTATTTTTGACATTAAAATTATATAGTGGGATTAGTTACTCAAAAAGGGTTTAAACAGCATTTAAACACCAAATATATGACTTTAAAAACTGTATTCCTGTATTCATTTCTCAGATTTCCAAATGAATATATGTTTCAGAAACAAACTTACATTATTTCATATATAAGAACACTCCAGTTCAAAACTAGATAAATTTTCACCAAATTTAACAGAATGGCCACAAGGGTCTTTCTTTTATTGCTCTCAATAATTTGTATTTAAAAAAACAGACAGGTCCCTGCCAGGTGGCATAGAAGCTAAAGTCCTCGCCTTCAACGCGCCAGGATCCCATATGGATGCCAGTTCTAATCCTGGCAGCTCCATTTCCCATCCAGCTTCCTGCTTGTGGCCCGGGAAAGCAACCGAGGACGGCTCAAAGCCTTGAAATCCTGCAACCGTACAGGACAGGAGACCCACAGAAAGCTCATGGTTCCTGGCTTTGTATCAGCACAGCAACTGCTGTTGTGGTCACTTGGGGAGTGAATCATCGGACGGAAGATCTTCCTCTCAGTCTCTCCTTTTCTCTGTATGTCTGACTTTGCAATAAAAAGAAATACATCTTTAAAAATATAAGTAAATCTTTAAAAAATAAAAACAGATAAAGATATGGTTTAAATGATGGATTAGAGGGCATTGCTTTCCTATATGGCTAGTATTTGTCTTTAAGATTTACTGAAAGGGAACCCACACCGTGGTATAGCAGGTATCCCATATGGATCTGTAACACTGGCATTCCACATGGGCTCTGATTTGAGTCTTGGCTGCTCAACTGGTCTGGTCCAGCTCCCTGCTAATGCACCTGGGAAAGCAGCAGAAGATGGCCAAATGTTTAGGCCCCTGACAATCATGTGGGAGACCTAGAGGCAGTTTTAGTCTTCTGACTTCAGCTGTTGTACCCATTTGGAGGACACAAAGCAGATGGAAGGATAGAATCTCTCTCTGGCTCTCTGTAACTGTGTCTTTCAAGTAAGTATATTAATATACAGAAAAAAAAAGGCACAAACTTAAGTATTAAAGTTGAGTCTTCTATACCTTAAAGTAGCAATGTAATACAGGGGTAAACATTTTGGGTATCTCAAGAAAACGTTTGAGTAATTGTCCACAACTTTTAGG